CCTTGCAACTCGGCAATGCAATTTACTGGCATCCACCCCAAACTGGAGTTAAAAACCCTCTGTTAGTTCCAGCTCTACCCTGTCCTGACTTGCTCGGTGGCTCCAGGCCGTGCAGCTGCTCTGCTTCCCTTACCCCGTTTGTATGCGGCTGATGCTGCCTCTCCACGTCCCGTGTTACTTGTGCCAAGGGTCCTGCTGAGGTATAATGGAAATAGGGATTGAATCCCGCTGCAGTTTTGTTATGCCCGGTGGCGAGGTTGATCCGTGTGCATTGGATGCACGTTGTGCTCAAGATGTGATTCAGAAAGTATCTCCCTCCTTGCAAAATCTTAAAGCAAGACAGATGCATTTTTGGAGGGTGACTGTGAGGCTAATTAAACCTCTGTGCCCTCCCTAATGAGGCATAGGGATGCACTTCCCCTCCGCAGGCTTCTGAAGGGCACTTTCAGCTTCAGGGCAAAGCTGCTTGTCGAGGTGGTGTACCCAGAGCCGCCGCACGCTGCTCCGCTTGGCTGCCGAGCTGGGTTCAGCCTCCTGGCTTCCACTCAGCCGCTCCTGACCTCAGCGTGGATCCATTTTTCAAATGAATGTAGTATTTGCAGCCTGTTCCAGGTGACAAAGCATGACCTGTCATGCCTATGAATGCGTTAGCTCCGGCTGTAACCATACACGACCTGTATGTGGCATCTTCGGCTCTTGCAGCTGGTGTTGCTGCCTGGAAGCCTGTAGTCTATGGGCTTGTTCTCACGGGATGGCTGTTGCTGACGCCCTTGGGCTGTTGACTTATGCCTAATACTGTACTGACTTAAATAACACTTGACCTGTAATGATACCTTAGTTATAGGTTTTAGTCATTTGAGGTTAACCTGAGGGAAGAAATATTTCCTTCCCTTTAATGGAATACCGTAGTTTATTTTATTACTGCTCTCCCTGTCATATATTTAAATGTTATAGAATGGATGGATGTGATATCCCCAAGGCAACAAGCCAGAAAACCTTTCAGACAGCTGCTGTAGCCCTCTGTTTCTGAGGACCAGGGCAAAACCTGTTTAATGGAGAGAGAGCAGTGGGACTGATTTTTCCCGGCGCTGGTTTGCTGACAGGGCACAAGGGTTGCTGGAGATGCACAGGTTAATGGCCCTTGGGCCGAGAGCCTGTGCAGGGTGGCACCTGTTTGCGTTTTGTGCCCGAGTTATTTGCAAGCTGAGCAATTAATTGCCGTGATTCAAAGGGGTCAGTATGAGCTGAGCTTTCTTAAAGTGACATGTGCTGTGTTTTGCCTCTGCACTGAACAAACTGCTTTATTTTTTTTATTTTTCTTTATTTTTTTCCTGCAGCTGAGCGGGTTAAAGAAGAGAACCTCTCAATTGTGTGCATCCCTACGTCTTTCCAGGTAAGTGCTCTGCCCCGGGGCGCCCTGCTGGTCCGTGCTCTTAGTCACGCAAGCAAATTCTTGGCTGGGGGAGGTAACTGCGATGCTCCCTGACTGGCTCCCTGCTGTGTGGGTCACCTGGAAGCATAGTGAAACTCGTCCTGCTGCAGCCTGCAGGCTGCCTGGGTGAACTGGCAGCGTTGATGCCTCTTTCACCTGTCCTGAGCTGCTTGGATGCTGTGGTTCCAGGAGGTTTGTGCATTTGGAACATGCTGTAACACCCGTGTCCCAGTGTTGGTGTGTGACTTGCTCTATATCCAGCTGGATTGCACAAGGATGCTGTTAACCATCATCAACCAGACTTGTACTGCAAAACTGTTTGGAGATGCTTAGACTGGTTTCCTTTGGTTTGGGATCAGGCCCTGAAAGCTTTGAAAATCATGGTGCAAGCAGTAATAGCAGGCAGGCTCTCCTGTGTTTTCAGGAGGAAACCTGAGGACAGAGTGTGTCAGCTGCCTTGTATGTGAAATTCCTGCAGAGAAATCGGCTTAATCTTTTCCTTTGCTGTGCAACTTTTGCAGGGATGAATTCATACCCAACTAGCTGCTGATAAAGTTTGCAGGGAGGCTTATTGGGAAAACCCAGGGCTGCTCAGGAAGCCTTTGAGCTGCTTCAGTGCCTTGAGGCAAATGGTTTTGCTCTCTCCCCTTCTGTCCCCTGAGGTGGGAATGCGTTGGGAAGAGCAGCTGTGCGTCTTGTCCCCCTTAGGGCAGGGTTTGGAAGCCGGGTGGCAATGTCCTGCTGTGGAGCTTGGGACTGGATCTTTGTCAAAGCTTTTTTTTTTTTTTTTTGTAGTTATTTCTCTTATGAGTGTAAGAGTGTAATCAGCCTGAGCAACTTGATCTGGTTGGTGGTGGCCAGTGACAGGACAAGGGGTTGTGGGTACAAGTTGAAATATAGGAAGTTCCATCTCCACATGAGGAAGAACTTCTTTACTTGTGAGGGTGACAGAGCCCTGGAACAGGCTGCCCAGAGAGGCTGGGGAGTCTCCTTCTCTGGAGATCTTCCAAATCCACCTGGATGGTGCCCTGTGTTCTAGGTGTCCCTGCTGGAGCAGGGGCGTTGGACTAGATGATCTCTAGAGGTCCCTTCCAACCTTAAGCATCTGTGATTCACTGTCACTCCATTTTATGTATCTTTGATTTGTCCAAAATGATCTCCATCCCTACACATCATGTACCTTTTAAACTGGGGGAGAACTCTGATTACAGTTGCTAGATCTTACAGGTAGTAGTGAAAACAAATGTCTAAAGGTCTTGTGCTGAATATGGGGTGAGGAATGCCCTTAAGTGTTGAGATACTCTACTGCTGTGTGAGCTATGTTTTACCAGTAATGTAAAATCTCTGCTGTGAGAGTGAGGAGATGGTCCATGCAGATGTGTGATCTAAAATCCTCCAGGCAAGGGGCTGCTTGGTATCTTTTGCAGTCTCTTGAAGCTCGACCAATTCTAAATGAAGCATTTCCAGGTCAGCAAAACAGCATCTTATTTTTGCTATGTACAGGTGTAAATGGCTGCCTGAGGTCACTGGCAAGGAAGAATTGGTTTCAGTGGCCTTTTATTCTCCTCCCTTCCCTGTTGTAAGCTCTGGTTATTCCCTGAAAGCTCCGTACATGGGCACCCCACTGAGAGGAGTCTGGTTTTCCTCTAGCGAGCCCTCCTTAGGGCGCTGTCGTGCAGTCTGATCAGGAGCCTGCAGCCCCTGCGTGTCCAAACTGCGTGCTAGGAAATGCCACAGTAATGCAGAGGGTTCAAACTGCTAATTCCTCGGACACAGTACATATGTATGGTCGACCCTGTTAGTGTTCAGTGAGTTAAATTTGGGGGTATAAATTGATCCAGGCTGTTGCGCTGGAGTTTCCTGCAACGGCTGAAGTGTGGTAGGAAATTTAGACTCGGGCAGCATTGTGCAGGGAGGGAATCTCACCTGTGACTGTTTGTAACACTGAAAATTGAACCAATTTAAGGTTTGGTAAGTGCGAACTTTCATTTAAGCTGATGAGGCAGGTGAAGAGTCATTCTGGGTGCTTTCCCCTGTCTTGACACACAGGGAAATACACAGCTACATCGGCATAAGCAGATCACATTCCCGAGGCTGTTTCAGGAGGTTCCTCCCCCTTTTCGATAAGTTTTCTTTCCCCGCCCTCACCCTCTCAGTAAAAATATTTTCACCATTAGTCATGTATTTCTGTCCCATATTTTAAGTATGTTTCTGTCTTGCTCCCATTTTTCAGCCAAAGGAAGATGGAGGGTCTGTTTTAACGGCAGCATTATCCAAGTCGATACAGATGAAACAGGCCTCAAAAATCCTGTATCTACCCTTATATTTGGATACGCGTGATTCCCTCCAGAGTTCATAAGGCTCCTGGTTATTTAGTTTGGTGAGACCCGGGTCCAGGAGTGCTGATGACCATCTGACCATTTTAGTTCAATCACTGAGTGTGGATGCAGCGTTTTCTCCTTGCTGGGTGTTGCTGGCGCTGGATGCAGCTCTGCTGCTCAGGATGGAGAAATCTGGCTCCTCCAGAGAGATTGCATCCTTGTTGGAATTGGGGAATAGCACAGCCCGGTTGCCTGCTCTGCTGCTGAGCAGTGTTTGCTGTGTTCTTGGTGTGCAGGCCCGCCAGCTGATCCTGCAGAACGGCTTAACGCTGAGTGACTTGGACCGACACCCAGAGGTGAGTGGATACCTCTCCCGATCTTCCCTTGCCAAAGCATCAGGCTCACTTGGCTCCTCTGAGGGTAGTGGTTTAGGCACTGCGAACATAAGTGAAACGAAGCTTAAGGTGGAGGGGGAAGGAGTTCTTTTGCCCAGAAGTGCAGGTCTGACTGGCAGGTTTGGCCTCAGCACTGAGGGGTGGCTTGTGGTGCCCAGGCTAGTGCAGAGCAGGGGCTGCAGGGGCAGGAAACTGGCCCTGTGCGGAGAACTCGTGGCTTAGCTGGGGCTCGTGTCCTGGGGTGGCCGTGCCCCAGGCTCTCGCCTCTGGCCAGGCTGGTGTCGAGGTGATCCCAGCACCAGAGGCATCCCCGTCTGCTGGCACCTCTGTGTGTGGGAAGGGCCTGGCTGCATTCCGGCAGGCCCCTGTGCAGGGCTGCTGCTCTCCTGCACCCACAGGACATGTTCCTAAACCCAGTATTTCCTCTTCCTGCAGCTTGACGTGGCCATTGATGGTGCAGACGAAGTGGACTGTGATCTCAACCTTATCAAAGGTGGCGGGTGAGCCTTGCTCTGTGTGGGTGCCAGGAGGCTTCTGAACTCCCTTTCCTAGCTAGGAAGAGCTGGACAGAGGCAACTGGCCTTTGAGGCCACGGGACACCCTGATGTGCAGTCTAATGTGCTTCTTTGTTATCCTTCCCTCTCTTTGCAGTGGTTGCTTGACGCAGGAGAAGATAGTTGCAGGATATGCAAAATGCTTCATCGTTATTGCTGATTACAGGTAAAATATTACTATCCTATTTGACCTTCCACAGGGGAGTATTTGGATGCCCTTGTGTTGCAGCGTTATTTTCTTTCCAGATGGTCAAAGAGAGCAAGAATAGGTAGAAATGAGCCTGACTCCCAGCATGTCAGCTTTGCAATTTTAATTTTCAACTCGGCAGACCTGCTTAGAAGTCTGCAACGTTTGTGGTTCTAGTAGTTAAGGAGGGAAGTGGCTGTATTGCTGTTTCTGAGCTCAGTAGTTGTCAGCACTGAATAAATTTCCCCATTAGCTTCTGTCCTGCTCATCCACATCAGAACAAGGTTCATGAGGGAATTGAGCTCACAGTTTGAATTTGTTCTTCCTACATGTGTGCACAGGTGAATAGCTGCTATGCCCTCCAGGACCTGAGCAGTTTGCAAGAGATAAGATGCTATGTTCGTGTTGTTAGCAGTGTGATATCCGATGCTAATCCCACCTCAAACTATGTCCTCAGGAAAAAATCCAAGAGCCTTGGGGAGCAGTGGAAGAAGGGAATTCCTATTGAAGTCATCCCCATGGCCTATGTCCCCGTCACTAGAACCCTGACCAAAAACTTCGGAGGCGCCGCTGAGCTGCGTATGGCCGTTAGCAAAGCCGTAAGTGTCCCTGCTCACCTAAATAATGTTTGTTTTTAATGCATTAAAAACCCCAACCCGAGAGCCTGCCCACGCTGTACGGGGGCCCTGTGCTGCTGCAGCACGAGTTGGCTCCTCGGGACACGTCTCCTGCCATGGTCTGGCACGCGGGTCTCTCCTGGTGCCTGCGGGTGCAAACGCTGCTCAGGGCCCCGGCTGCCCAGGGAGAGGCTGTGGCAGAGCAGGAGCTCGGTGCAGATAACGGGTTTGCTCCCCAGGGCCCCGTGGTGACGGACAACGGGAACTTCATCCTGGACTGGAAGTTTGACACGGTTCATAAATGGAGTGAAGTGAACACAGCTATAAAAATGATACCAGGTAATTTAAAAACTGAGAGGTGGCCAGGACTTGGCCCATGCTGGAAAACCCTGACCAAGTGAGCCTTCCTGTACCCGGGATGGATGAACTGTACATGAGCAGGACTTCCATGTGGTGGTGAAAGCCTGAGGTGGTCCCAGGGCCCCCACAACCCTGTCTTCACTAGGCAGGTCAATCCTACCCTCCACCTTCCTGCCCTTGTGCCCTTTTAGAGAGGGGCTTTTAATGGTCCTTTTGTGGGCCCTGCAGTAGCTCTGGGTTATTTTCTAGAGACTGTTTACAGCTCTGTATCCCTCTGCTCTCATATAGCCTCCAGGTTCACCTTGCTGTGAGGGTGACACTTATCTTAATGTGGCTGCTGCCCATAGCTGTGTAAATGTCTACATTGTTGTAGCTATTTCTATGCAAGAGAGAAACAGTGGCTGGTTATATTAACTGTTTCTAAACAAAACGCAGCCTCTTTTGTTCAGGAGCACAAAAGAAGCCCAGATTAAGGGGCTACAGGCTTTTTCTAGAAAAAGGCCTGAGATATCTCTGTCCTTAATGGTTCTGAGAGCTGAATTGCACTGAGTGAAACTGCAGCTTCTAACTCCCTGGCAGAGTGCGTCAGTGCCTCGTGTCATCCAAAGACAATATTTGATACTGAGGCCCTGATCTGGTGTTGTGAGTGCTATTAAAATGCCCTGGGAGCATGTTCTGCTGCAGATACAAGCCCTTAAATGCTTAACTTGGAAGTCTTAACCATCAGAAAGTGAAAATCATATTTATTTGTTTTAATGGGTATGTATCAGTCTCTGCTTGTTGGAGGGCCTTCCGATGACACTGAATAGCCCTGTTTGCCAAAGTGGTGCTTAACTTGGAAGTCTTAACCATCAGGAAGTGAAAATCATATTTGTTTGTTTTTAATGGGTATGTATCAGTTTCTGCTTGTTGGAGGGCCTTCTGATGACACTGAATAGTCCTGTTTGCCAAAGTCTCTCTCCACTGCGACCACTACATCTATTTTTAGCTATTTAGTAAACCCCACAAATCAGCAACTTTCTTATAGAAAACCAGGACGAAGCTCTCCTAGAAGCAGACCTTGAAGCAGGTCTTGAAGGAGACCTGGTACCTTGCAGCAGAGCCCACTCTCACTGTGGAGCTGTCCTTTTCCTTTGTTCTGTTTTTAGTTACACTGTTAATCTTGGAAGGAAATTGCACTTCTCAAATTCTGCAGTCCTGCCATTCTGGGCTGCTCCCAGATGTGGCTTTCTTGGCTTTTCAGTCTTCTTATCTTGCTCCTCGGAGGCTCCCTGCTTATCCCTGCTACCTCCAGCTCTGATCCCACAGGTCATCCCCCTTTAACTGAGCCCACTGCCATGTCCTGTGCTGAGGAATGGGCAGGGATTCTGCTGCACAGACCTCAGTGCTTGCACAGAGGGGCAAAACCTCGTCCTTGCCTCATGATCAGAACCTGAGGCCGGAGCACAGGACATGGGAACAGGTTAGGTGAAGAGTCACCAGTAACTTCTAGCTGTTCCTGTGTGGTGGTTTGGCTTCCCTCAGCCTCTGTGATGAGGTTGATTTGCTGAAAATTACCCATTTTCCTTTTTTTCCTGCTCAAGACAGAACTGCTAGGTACTGCTAGGTGCTAGAGGTGTTACCTCTAGACCTTGGCTTGTCCAAGTGTTTAACTAGTCTGAATAATTACCTGGCACTTGCTTGCAGCTAACATTAGATGGCAGGTTCACACCTTAGGAAGGAGTAGATCCAAAAAACCACTGGCTGCTGCTGGTCTGGAGGAGAAAGGAGAGGGCACGTGATGAAAGCTCACTCCATCATGTGGATGCAGAGACCATCTCCTTCGCTTGCTCTCAGGAATGGGCCTGCCAAGGGGAGAAGAGGGTCGCTGCTTGGCAGAAGTGCAAGAGCACTCAGAGACTGGATGTGCGGTGGCATCTGGGCCCTGGCAGCGGGGCTCGTTGTTGAATCCCTGCACTGCTGCCAACAGCCCGGTTAAACCTGTCCCAGGGCCGGAGCTCAGCCTGGAGCGTTGCTGACCGCTCGCTCTGGGTCTGCAGTGAGGCCAGGGCCTCGGTCCCTTGTTGCTTCCTCTGCAGCCCTTGCTCTTCGTCCTCAAGCCCATCTTGCCCTTCTCACAAGATGGGCAGTGCCGTGAGGTTCCTCCTAGGCTCTTGGGTGGCGGGTTGCGCAGGGTGGCGGGTGACGCGTTGTCTTGCAGGTGTGGTGGAGACGGGGCTCTTCATCGACATGGCCGAGGTGGTTTACTTCGGCATGCAGGACGGCTCGGTCAGCGTGCGGGAGCGGGAGCCGCGCTGAGCGCCCCGCGGCCCCTCCGTGCAGCTGTGGCGACGGTGCCAACCCGACGTGTTGCCTTAACGAGCAGCGGTCGTTGCAGAGGACAGAGGAAGAGACGATCGGAATCCGCTGACCTGATACTGAATGTCTTTTTTTTTAACAAAAAAAATATTCTATTTCTCTCTATATATTTTTACTTTACTGGAATATTTTTTTTTTAAGAATCATTTAAACAAATTGCTTTAACACTTTTTTATTTTCTAAGAAATATTTACCAAAAGAGACGATTCTTATTTTTGTTTTTGTATGTGGTTTTGTTTTCTTGTTTTTTTTTTAAACAGAACTTGAACCCTTCTGGTTGCTCATGGTGTTTAGTGGTTGACAGCAGAAGTACAATCCTAATGCATTAATCTTACTCACTGGAAGGGTGATTTTGTAAGGGGAGTGTATCCAGTTGGGACCTGCTGATGCCTTATTTGGAACCTTTTTGGTTCGGGATTTTATGCCTTTTATTTTTCTACACCACTGTTTGTAATAGTCCAGGGTGTCTAGTTATCCTCTGTGCATAAGACAAATCTGAGCCTGGGGTACTGTGGTCTCTACATCCCTCTTGTCTGGGACATAAACATTATAAGGGCCTTTTTCTGGGCCTGTGTATGGAGGAGACATTCATCCTTTGGGCTAAGTTCTGCTCTTGAACAACTATGGTGATCTAATACCTCTGATTAAAGTCTGTTCCTATATATGGAGACATTCTGGACTTCAATCCTGTAGCACAAGAGCAGAACGGGGTCCCTGTTGCAGTTTACAGAAGCATATTTGAGCAATTGAGCACAACGAGAAGTACTGTTCAGTGGCAAACTACATTGGTGGGAATGAAGGTTATTTAGCACCTCTCGCAGTTGGTTGATTTGCGGAAGGATGGAGCAGAATGTGAAGGAAAACAAGTCTTCCTGCCTGAACTTACCACATGGAGGAGGAGGGAGACGCATGGTTCAGTGTGTTGTTCTTTGCGCGTAGGTGCTTTGCATGGTTCTGGTGTCGAAATGCAAGCCCTTACTTGGTGTTATAGGCACTGAAATAAAGAGCTGTTAAACCAGATTTGGCTGTAGTCTAATTCTTAAAACAACCATTTCCCGGACAAGGGGACAGATCGTATTTGGACCAAGTCATCTTGCAGTTCAATTTAGAGCTTCTCTTTGTGTTTCCTTGTGAAGGCAAACTTCACCCAGGCCAAATTCATCTATTTTGCAGCTGATTTCTCTTTTCTTTAAGATAAATGCATTAGATTATTTTAAATGAACAAGAATACATAATCAGTGCTTGTTAACTGTAGCACTTTGCCATAGAAATATCCTGCATTTGCATGTCTCCAAACTGCCTGTTCAAAACATAGTTCACTTTTGTTAAAAAGGAGCTATTTTTGCATCTCAATTTTCCCTTTCCTCCATGCTTTCCAAAGTGCTTGTACGGAGAAAACTCCAGCCAACAACTTGCTGGAAAGCCAGGAATATCTCTTCCTGCAAGCCTGATAACTGCAGAAATAATTCACAGTATAAGTCCTGTCTGGAGGGCCATGGGCTGTTTTCAGATACGTCCTGGGTTCCTAATGTAATCCCAGCTCCATGGAGCACTCGAGCAGAGCCTTGTGACAAAGTCTCTTCTCTCACAGCGTGCTCTGGAAAATGAGATTAGCAGGAGAGAGCGCTGCTGTTGACTCCATCTCCCTAAAGTCAAACAGCTCCTTCTCAAAAAGCCAATAAATCCATTATGGTGCCATTAGGGGCTGGCCCTGGCCCAGGTGTGATCTCATTCAGCTTTGGGCCTGGTTCAATCTGAGCCTGAAAATCATGGCTTTGAGGGGGCTGGATGGAAGGAAGCTGGTATAGAGCGGAGCTGCTCCCAAACCTGCAGCATGCGGATGCATAGGGACCTGTAGCAGGAGCGGGACAGCTCCTGGCCATGGCTTACTGGGTATTTTTATTTCATTTTTGAAATAGAATAACTTCCAGGAGAGATGCTGGTGTGGACCAGGCATTGCCAAAACCTGCAGTTCCCCATGCAGAGGGAGCTCAGCCCCTTCTGTGGGCTTCAGCCTGGAGAAGAGAAGGCTGAGAGGGGACCTGATCAGGGTCTATAAGTACCTCAAGGGAGGCAGTGAGGAGGATGGTGCTGGCCTCTTTTCAGTGGTGGCCACCGACAGAACTAGAGGTAATGGCCACAAACTGAATCACCAAAAGTTCCGCACGAACTTAAGGAAAAATTTCTTAACAGTGAGGGTGACAGAGCACTGGAACAGGCTGCCCAGAGAGGTTGTGGAGTCTCCTTCTCTGGAGATCTTCAAAACCCGCTTGGACGCAGTCCTGTGCCACGTGCTCTAGGTGACCCCGCGTGTGCAGGGGGGTTGGACTAGATGATCTCTAGAGGACCCTTCCAACCTTAAGCAGTCTATGATTCTCCCAACGGAACAGTTTGGATTCCAGTGTCCCAGCTAGTTCGCACTGGGGGCAGCTGCTTTTTTCTCTCACATAAATATAACAACTGAGGGCTTCAGATTCAGTGTCAGCGATCTTTGATTAACAGGTTAAGTAATTAGGCTGAACAAATTGGACTAAAGGAAAATAAATTATTTTGTTAAAATAAAATACCTTGTTCCACACAAGTGTTGCTGCCTGTCAGAGTTTTATTATTGTCACTGTAGGGCTTGTTTTATGATCTGACATAATCACTGTTCAGAGGAACCAGAAGGACTTTTAGGTTGGGTGGTTTAACCAAAGATCATGCAGTTATTTTGGCTTTTTTATTGCTGCAGCAGGACAAAAAAAAAAAGGAAAGTAGTTAAGTCTTCACTTTCAAAATGAATTTTCAGGTTTTATTTATCAAGCATCGTGAATGCTCCAAAATTTCTTTGCAGTTCTGTTTTAGTCAGTGAAGAGCAAAAAGATGATGTATTTCATCTTAAAAATGAGCTTAAAGAGCTCTTTAATAATAAATTTAATAAAAAAAAAACACATGCTCTTTTTTTCTGTTGTTGTTTCTAAAGCTATTGGAGATTATTCATTTCCCTTTCTGGTAATTTTAACAGGTCAAAATCATTAACTAGTACTAATTCCCTTAAAACATTTTTGAAGTCTAAATTTTAGTAACTTGTAAGTGATTGGCTTTCTGCAGTGCCCTGTCAACTTGTAATCAGTATTTAATAACCTGCAGTTTAATCCCAGTGTAATGTATTTGGCAATGACAAATTAAATTGAAAAAATCTTGCTGTAAATCTACACAGCAGCCTGGGACTTCCCATATTAGGACTGTAAAAAAATAGACTCTATTTTTTTTTAATTCCTTACTTAAAAAGAGATAGTCTGGCCTTCCTCTTTTCTTAAAACCTTATTCTTTCTCCTCTATTTTCTGTTCTGCTTCTGGTTGTATGGCAGTAAAAATAAATAAATAGATGAACAGCTCTAAAGCTGAAGCTCAGAATTTTATAAAATATACATTAATGCTAGCAGTTAAAAGCAGCCTTTCCTCACAACAATAAAATAATATCCATTAAAACCTGTCTTAGATTGTTCCCTGCTGAATTTCACAGTGGGATTTCAATATATCCAGTATATTTGGATGGGAAAAAGCAGCGAGGCTGGATGAGAGACCATTCCTGAGCTTTCCACAGGTTTTGTAGCAAGTCAGCATGAAGCTTTTAACAACAGCTACAAAGGGGTCATCAGAAAAATCTCTGCTCTCGAGCTTGTAGGGGCTTCATCACATTTTCAGCAGAATCAGCTCCCAAGAGAAGCAGGGGATCCTGGAAGCTGAGATTCCAGGCAGTGGGATTCAGCTACTCTCGTTTTCCCAAGAAGCGAATTCAGCTGGAGAAATTCATATTCTGAGGTCTGTACTTACTGCTTGAGGAACATTAGTTCTTTTAAGGATGTTGTTATTTACGGGATCAATACTGCTACTTAGCCAGCGAGCTGGCTGAGCAGGGACAAATATTGTGTGCTCTAATACATTTATCTGTCTATTAATCGATCTCTGCAGCCACTTAGCTGATCAAACAGGTAGAGCAGGACTAGGAGCAACTTATTCCCAGTGCTGCTGCATTGGTAATAGGATTTGTGTCACGTTGCTTGCTGTCCAAAAGCTCCATGCACACTTAGCATGAGCAAGCTTGGAGCTCCATGGAAGGATCCCAAGTGATTCATCCCACCTATTTTAGGCACCTCCTGGCAGTGCCTAGTGCAGTCTCAGAGCCCAGACGCTTGGCTTAGACTAGAGAGTCATTTTTTGAGGGCTAAGAGTAGCTGAGCCCAATTCTAGCCCTTGTCATAGTGCTTTTAGAGAGGAAGGAGATCTCTAACCCAGCTCTCACTGCTGGGTTGGTGGAGATGCTTGGGTTTCGTCCCGCAATGTTCATGTCCATGGAAAGCCCATTCAGAAAAATCTCATGTGACAATTACTGATCAGTCATTTATGCAGCTAAAGTCAGGAAATTGCTCGGTTTTGACTTGGAGATGGTGACACGCATTCCTTTGGAAAAAATGTAATTGGGAAAAGCCAGATCAGAAGAGAACCCCCCCTGCTCATGCTCTACTCGTGGATTGCTGTACAAAGCTGACAAAGTCTCGGCATTTTGTTTGGCTTTGGACTTGGTCAGGCTGTAGAGCTCCTACTGGAGCTTGTTCCACAGGCACCTACCAGGACACAAATGTGTAACACACACAGCTTTCAGGTGTTAAAAGGCCGTGCATTCGTAGCCATTGTTTAGGCAGATTAAATCAACAGGGAGTCTGCACGACCCTACAGTTCTCCTCATAGGATCGAGACAGTAAAGGACATTCAATCTTGATCTAGTTAGATTTGATGACTTGATTTGAAATCCAAAAACCCCACACAGTAGGTGCAGCACGTTAAGCAATACAGGTGGCTTCTGATCTGTATTTTGTGTTTTTTTAATCTGAATTCTGGCTCTTATGACTCTGAAATTTGCTTGCCCATGAGATTACTGCACACAGTCCTTCTCTGTG